ACGACTTATTCTGTGAACTCTACAATGAAAAACTGAGATTGAGTGCATTATATTAACACAATTTTGTAGCCTCACTACGTGGTTAAAGTTCATATCATCATGTCCAGTCATGCTCTATTTAATGATCATGCATTTTGATAATGCCCTACAGAATAGATTTCATTGCAATTTGTTATAAGGCTGTCATGTCCAAAGCCAACTATGCCTACCTGATGGCTTTTCATAATTCATATAATGTACAATGGTTTCCAAGAGCTTGTTTTAACAGCTTCATCACACAGAAATTTATAGCTTCTGCATTCCACAAATTCACTGGTATGTCTTCATATGTAATAACGTGAATACTAATTTCATTTTCCAGCTCTTTGAGACATGCAGCAATACAATGGGAAGTATAACTGAAAGCTTCATTTTAGAGAATCCAGACCGTGTTGGCACAGGTGGATGTTATTTCACTTTTTTCCAAATATTAAAGTTCTACCCCCTGAATTTATGTACTAGGTCAAAACAAACTTGATAATATTTTTTTCAAAATTTTAACTCCCTCTTAACCTCCCTGTACATACCTGTTCAAGTGTATGATATGTGTGAATTAGTCATTTTTTGGAAAGTCTGAAAGCTATGGGTGGCCCTATTACGTCTTCCAAGCAGGTAGATGAATACCTTGAATCAGAGGCAGATACCAACACAAAACTCACGAGGCTGTACTTAGAAAAAAAGTATTCAAGGGACACCTCTTTATCCTTGCCAAAAAATAGTGATATTTTTATACTGATGAAGGATCATAAGCTACCTTTGCAAACATATGCTGCAAACTTAAAGCTGTATATAGACAACATAGTTTCAAATGATGAGGTCAAGAGAGATGACCAAAACAGAGCAATTTATGTTATTGGGTATCTTGAATGACACTTTGTAATTATTATAGTAATTAAAAGTATCAGAAAACAAATTTGATAATGATTGAAGTTAGTTTTATGTATATTATTTGTTATGTCAAAGCAGCAAACTGTTTGTGATAACATTTTTGGGGTATTAAGTTCAACTACTCCAGATTGCATTAAGAAACTTGTGTGAATGATCTGAGCAATGTGATGACATTTTAGATTTAGATTTACAACATGACATTGTGGAAGGAAAAACACAAGTATTTTTATATTAAACTAAATTTAGTGCTACCGAGACCTTTTGAATAAATTTAATGCATCTTGATATTAACACCCACCCCTACTGTTGGGTTGGCCTCCTCCTTGATTATACTGTTTACTGTTGCTTGGGGCACAAGGATGGCATTTGCTGTTCATATTTGTGTTTGTAGATTCTCACAGTTACAAGATGCCATACTTTGCTTACCATGGCCAGAGTATGGATTTCAAATTTACAAGCAAACTACAAGATTGCACATTCCAGAAGCACCCCTCAGATCACATACATGCCAGGATAACAGCTCAGATACATGAGAAAGAGTAACTCTATTAAACTCTAAAAGCTGCAATAGTTAATTAAATTAGCAAAACTTACTTGATTGTTCAGAAATTAATAGTTGAAATGTCCTTTCTCTCTTGTGTATTCAACTAATTGCCATAAGTGTTTATCTGTAGTTAAGCACAAAGCTACATAATTGTCTATCTGTGCCATACCCACCAAGGCTATCAAAACCCTTTTTTTAGTGTTATAAGCCTTCCGATTTACCACTGAGCCACTCAAGTGGTTAACATACAATGTCTTTAAAACATCTTACCACAAATCACCACTTGGTTGCTCAGAAAGCAAGAAATGCCTGTTAATTTCAGTCATTGATTTTTCAATTAATTGACTTAAATGATTGCACCAATTGCTAATCAAGTTAATCACAGTCATTATAATTAGGTGATCACTGAATCTTAACTAATCATCAAAACATACAGACTACTACTCCATTGGCATTTCATCATCCAATTCCTCTTGAACAGTAAGATGTATACTGCCAATTTCTCCATCTTCAAAAGCCACATCAAGACTATGACACTCATCATCATATTCAAATTATGCTTCCAACTTTGATTCCTTGAATAATCAGTTCTCAAGATGGCTCATCAGTATTCTGTACAATAAGGCAACAGCTGTAATTCATAGTTCACCTCATTAAGCTGTCAAAAGATGAGATGTAAAACAGTCCAGCCAGAACTTAGTTGCTTACACAATGCAGGTACATATCATAGTCAAATTCAATTATCAAGCTCAAATTTTCATTCTATTACTATATTGTACTACATACCTTTTAACATAAAGCCATTTTAACCCACTTCTTGATGTGCACATTCATGTTCATCAACTAATGCAGAATAAAGAAATTCCACAAAATCCTGTGGAAGATCTGCACTAGGTGAAGAATCCTGCACTAAATCCCACTAGAAGCTGTACATCAGATTTGAGAAACAACTAATCAACTGTTGTTCATCAGTGAGATGCACCACTATGCCTCATAGTAGGTGCTTATCTTAAATGGTTTAGTCAGAGTTCACAACCTTTGCAAACATATGCTTGACAACCAGCACAGCCCATTCAGTAAAGCATATTATAAGGCTGAGAATGATATGGTGAAGTTCACATTCTTGCCACACCCATCACCTTACACACATTGACAAACAATTAGTTATTGAATTTGGTTCCTTGATCTGCATCTCTCTCTAGATGCACCAAATCACTGTATCCATTATTCAGCTAATGTATCAACCAACAGTTAAGTTTGAGCCCATTTGAAGTAACTGATAAAAGTCAGCATATATTGATTATCTTTCTCAGTTTCAGGTAGATGATTTGTTTGTTTACTCAATTTCACCTAAAACTACTTTAGAGTCAACCATATATAATTTTGAAGTAATAGACTAAAGGAAAAACAGTCAATACCACCCACTGCTAACTGTTGGGCTACTCTTTACTAATGAATATTAGACCTGGCTGTCACATTATAACACCCCATGGCTAAAAGGGTGAGCATGTTCAGTTAAATGGATAGATTTCATAATTTGGTACTAAATACAGCAATTGGCTGTTGAGGCAAAAAGCAGAACAACAAAATATCTGTACTGTGCAGAGATAAAATTAAAAATATTCATTATCTCCACCAAACATAAAAAAATTAAACTTCCATAATTTTAAGTCATACCAAAGTTTCAGTACAGTATCCCACAATCCTTAAATTATCCATGTTAACAATCATTTCCAATATACATATTCCAGGAAGATTAACCTCCATCTCAAACTTGTAAAAGTCTCTGTGCCATTTTTTGAAATGAGTTATGACCTCACTCCAAATGGCATGGTGCAGAAACATTTCCAAGCAAGAGAAAAACCCTATGGAACAACTGCTTTATATAAGTCAGAGAATTATAGCAAGTATACAACATTCCCATATCTGTAATTACATGCAAAACACTTACACAGAAATTCTGAAAAATTACCTCAAAATACTTAAGATATATTATTAACTAGGTATGGAAAATTAAAATATATTTCCAACCAACACAGTACATCTCAACATTTCCACTTATTTTAAAATATTTAAATACTTTCAGTGCCCTATTTTCAAAGGTAACAAATTATAAATACTGCAAAGATATTCATTTTTTGTCACAGTACAAGACAAAAATTCCTATATTAAGACATAAATATGTGTACTGTTGAAATTAGAAAATTAATGCAAGCTAAAATATATTTAATTTTTCTTTACTTTTTCAAAATAATATGCTCAGTATCTCTATGATTTTTTATGAAAAACAAAAAAGTGAAACTTTTATCTATATTCATTGTATCACATTTCCACTCTTTTCTTTCACGTATTTCATAAGTACGTAATGTAGATACTCTAATTTACACATTTTTTCTTTAATCTAAAGCTTAGAAATCACTACACATTTTATTGGTGTATGAAGTGTTTATTAAAAAATTGATAAATCTTGTTATTGGCACTGAGAAACTCAGTAGCTTTTAGACAATATACACTAAAATCCTTGGTAATGATGACACTATCAGCATGTCATTGTAAATCAAAACAAGTGTACTGTACAACATTATCTCTACCCTTAATATTTGCAAAACACTGCTATTGCTACCCTATAATTTCAAACTGTATTGTAGATTTTTTACTGAAATTAAAATAAATACCACAAAGAATGTTAGTTATAATTTTTTGAGGAAATATTACAGCCATATAGAAAACAAATTTTTAATTAATACAAATTGTTCTTAATTTTTCACTGGAAGTGGTAGCTTTCAAAGATAGTTTTATTATACTATAAACCATTTTGCTGTCAGAAGAGTAGGTAGCAGCATCTGTCAATCTATTTTTGATTAAAAAGTTATATTAAATTTTTGAAGTAAAGCACAAAGCTACACAATGGGCTATCTGTCACTGGGGGGGGGGGGGTGGATTATAAATATAAAAGGATGTATTAAAACTGAACCTTGGTATTTTTCAAATGTTGATATAAGAAAATGGTTGTAATCACTAATTTATATCAATATTAATTTTTTCCAATAAATTTCAAACCATGATGTGTCATAATGTTAACAGAATGTTTACATTCTGTGACACACAGAATGTAAAAAAAATACTAAGGAGTAGATTTAAAAAATGATACAATACTATGAATCTGCAATGTCTCACAATTTTAGGCTCAATACATAAATGAGACTTCAGGAATAATATATCATGTGAAAAGTCCTATTTTTATTTTACCACCACAAATGAATTTTAAGGTAATTTATATATTTGTAGGAGATACTCTAAGCCTAATTAAACTAGCCAACCAAAAGTTCCACTGAACAATAAGTACCTGATTTGTAGGTTTCTTTTTATAATATGATAACAAGTTTGTACACAAAAATATATATATCTAAAAATAGAAAAATTGTAGATCCAGGAGCATCTTTTTCTTTACTTCTTGTCCAAGTAATCTTAAATTAGAATACATTTTCAGAAAGAATACTTTTCAGATGAAAAACTTGAGAGAGTGAAGGTCAGTATGAAATTTTATTACAAAGTTTTTTTAAATTACCAGAAGTTTGCATTCCCTTATTATTAGGTGTCACATTCTCAAGTGGATATTTTTTAAGTTCAGTAAAATTTTACTACAATAATATGATCCCTAAATATTATTATCTTCTACATGTGTCCTCTTTCTTGTTGAATCCTGTTGGAGTATGATCTTGATACCAGATTCCATGAGTCCATATATCGATCCATACACATGGATATACATTTCTGTAAAACATAACATATATATCGTAAGATAAAATACCTCAAACAACCATTTTATGGAAATTAATTGATTTTCGGTATGACTTACACTATGATTGTTGTTGTTTCCCACGAATTTACATTTTTCAACAATGAATTTGTGTATGCGTGTGTTTCAGTAAGAGTTTAAGAGTTTCTAAAAATACCTTTAGCTCAAATATCTGTTATTATCATGCATTTCTTTATTCACACATATATTTTCAATAATGTTTACACAATATAATAAGATGGTAGTCACTGCTTGTCTTAACAAAGTTAAAAAAAGGTTAGTTCTAAAAACAGTTAAAAAATTATGTAACATTCTCAACAATTATCTAAAAGGTGAGAGCACAAAGTATTTGGATAATGCTTTTTGTTTCATATATATACATAAACATTTATAATCAGTTTGTAGTGACTAACAATGTTATCTTACTTCAAGTTCAGTAAAAATACTGTTTTATTCTTCATTTTGTAATACTTTTACTTAGCATTTCTTTCCAAATAAAAGACATTCAATATCTTTTGTCCAACAAGTCCCATGACACATACAGAATAAATTAACTTAATCTAACATTCAAAATAAAATATCACAATATTACTCAAAATCTATACTTTCACTTGGACCAATTGAATTTTAAAACAATACAATCTTGTCAAAAGGTTGTGTTAGTTGCTCCAAAGTATGACCCATTAATATGTTATTTTAATGGATAAATTACTTATTACTATTCTTGACTTTACTATTTAATAAAAATTAATACATGTTGCATTAGACATTTTTCAAATACAAATTAAAAAATATGATAAAATGATCAAACAAAAATATCATTTTATGAAAAGCCAACAATATTAAAAATTTGAAGTTGTAGCAATGTGCTTTAGTAGCAAAGTAGAGATATAAAGGTGATACAGTAATTAATACTGTAAAAATATCCTTTGTTATCAAAACTTTTATCACTAACCCTCATAAATCATACAGACCTGTTCAGAGTTGTCCAAACTAGTACCTGGCTTGGATATGCACTTTTTAAAGCATTTTTCTGTCATTTTCTGTTAAAGAACATAAAGCAAGTAAGTTACATTAAGCATACTCATATACTATTTTTATATATGTGTACAACTTTTGTGCGTGAAACTATTTATTTTAGGCCTAGTTGTTTCATTAAAAAACTCATTCAAATTACATTTTCTTCTCTTCAGATGTAGAGATCACAATAACTGTTCTATTATCTTTTAGGTACAAAATTGCATGCAACATACAACGTGTATTTTTATGTACTGTAATCATTTTAAACAAATTACTCCATGTAAAATAATTACTGAATGCACTAGCATTTATGAGTTGTGTTACAAAAGTTTTCACATAAAGCAGTGTAAGGTTTTTCTTTTATTTTCTGTCAAGAAACTGTCATAATTTCATATATTAAGCCTTGAGAAGAAACATGACTTACATTTCAGCCTGCTTTGTATTTGCTAATAAAGGTTTCTCACTACATTACACATTCATAAAAACCTTGATATTATAAAGTAATACGAATAAAACGAAACTTGAAAACATTAATTTCATGTAACTTTTTCATATTTTTTTAAACTTTTTTCCCCAAATAATCAAAGATTATTAACAACTTTTCTGAAGAAGAGAAAATTAAGATCAGACAAGATACAAACCTGTGACTGCTAACTGGACAGATCTTTAATCAACAAAAGTTACCTAATATCAAATCCCAGTCTTCATTTCACTGATCATTAAGAACCAAATTTGTCATAACTCTTTAGCTATGCCAGTCACTTCAGAATCTATTTATTGTCTTTTTTTTCTACTTTTGTGAAGTGATTTATTTAAATGTTTCAACCATAAAACTTCACTTTTTACTTCAACGGAATGTTCAATGCCACCCAATAACAAGAAAAAAAATTAATCTGTATCTATATCAAATAAATTACATGGTTGTAATCATAAACCTTTGACTCACTTGTAACAGTTCTTGTGCATTTGCAACAGCTATTTGCTGTTTAACTTGGTCCATCAGCTCTTCTCTTTGAGCACCAGAAAGTTTCCCTCCACTACTTAATGAATCCATTCTGAAGTAAGAGCTAAATTACTCCTGTTAAATCAAAAGTGGAAAAAAACATTACATTCTTGTCAATGTAAATTATGAGAAAAAGTATAACTTGCATCATTTGAAGTTAACAAATCTACAATAACCTTTAAAATCAAAAACTTTTCCATGAAGTTTAAACAAGTACAATAAGTTCTTTCTTATGAGTACCTTCTTTTCTTTTTTTAAACTATAAAATGGCAGAAGTCCAAACAAACCAAGAATCAACTTTCTCAACAATAAATTCTCCATACATAAATAAAAAAAACTTGAGAAAATATTAAAAGAACTGAAAATTCTGCACTTAGATAAATTGTAAAATTCTTCCTAAAAAATATATTACACAACACTGAAGAACAGGAAATCAAGAACTTACTGCAAATGGAAAATTAATATACCATAACAATAGCACAATCTCAACACCATATATATATTTTCCAGTGTTTCAAGTTTTAAATCAGTTCCTAAATGATTAAATATCTCCATCTTAATTCTCTGGTACTGAAATTTTTCTTAAGTATAAAAAATTGATTTTTGAAACAAAAAATAAGAATTTTTTTTTGGCTAAAGGTGTATTTTACATTATGACCCTAATACCAAGAAGTATTAACTGAAAAGCCTAAACAGTTGTATAGAAGTATTAAATGATAAGTATTCTCACCCTGGCTCATTCAACTGTCAACAGGGATCAGTGAAGCATTACCACAGTGTTGAAATCTACATTCTGTAATGGCATAGAAGAATTAGCCCCATAAAATGGAAAGAATGACAAAATATTCTGTTGCCCTAACACTTTTGCACAGAACTGTATGTCTGAACAGAAAGGTGGTACAGGAAACAGGTGGGCAACAGTTCAAACAGGGGACACGTAAGATCTGTGAAAATGAAACAGGGATTCCAGCCCAAAAGAGGAATCAGACAAGGATAAAAACTGAGAAATATATAAGTCTAAAAAGAGATCTATAAGAAATGGAAGAACATGTGCCAAACCATTATGAACTGGCAATATTAAAAATGGTAGGAAATTGTAGAGCAGAATAGGCATACAGAAAGAGATTGAACTAATCCAGAGTTAAGAGCATCCACTTCGTAAACTATAGAGTCTGTAACTGGAAACCAAATGCATAGAAACTAGGTGTTGAGGACAGTTGAAAATTCAATGATGATAGGATTATTAAAATGGAAGTAAACCCATCGAAAACATCATAGGATGGAAAGACCACTCTGTGGGAAGGGTCCAAGCTTAGGCAAGGCAGGTGATCCACCACCAGGGCCTGTGCTCCCAAGAAATTATAGACTGACATGTGAACATAGTGGTCATGGACCAAAATAAGAAAGTGCAGGATCAGAAAAATAGAGGTCCAGAGAGTGAGTGTTTCCCTGTCAGAGTATGGAAGAAGGACAGAGATATCATGATTAGAAGGATAAACAGATGAGTCAGAAGATGAAGGAAGCTTGTTTGAACAGACAACATCTCAAGGGCATTAATAAAAAGAATGATCCTTTGGAGAATAGACTTTAGAAACAACTCAAGTGTTAAAAACCACACACACTTGAATAGAAACATCAGTTGACAGGTTCAGCTTGTAGATTTCATTATCAAGTGCAAAGCTACTCAGTGTGTTTACTGTGGTGTGCCCAGTGTGGGTATAGAAAACCAAGTATTTGAATGTTATCAGCCCTCAGACATACCACTGGGAAGCTCTGAACAAATGCAAACCTGGATGAAGTGAGGGATGATGCCCAGGGTTGCATGGGATCAAATGAATCACAACAGCATTGAGAGGTGAAAAGAAAGAAAAACACATGAGAATACAGTGAATCTCTGAAGAGACTTGCATTGATCAGCCAGAATTCACTGAGGGGATGCATATGGGTGTGTCTAAGAGGAATAAGATATTCAAGAGAGAGTCCCCAAAAGAAAAATTGTTTTATTCAGGAAAATAAGGAGACATGACAGTTGTTCAGAACCTCCATGTTTCAAAGATATAAAGAAGGCTGAGCCTATCTTGCATATGCATTGAGAAAGGCCCCACCAAAGTGAATGAGATATTGGGTGGGGATTCAGACTGAAATGGAGAGCTGAATCATTCACCCCAAATGAGAAGGAATGTTGCAACAGTGAATGCCACAATGGATAGGGCCAAATGTCCATATAGTACAACAAAAGCCTAAGAAATGTAACATACAAGCAAAAGCCCATGGGACCTAAATGAAAACATATGGGATCATGTACCACCTGAAGAGAATGGCCATGAATACTGTATTAAAATATTTTGGATGAACTAAAGAAAGCAAAAACTGGACAGACAAGTCAGAATGTGGAGAAAGCATACAAGACATTAATCCTGATCATTCACATTTCAAGAGAACACCCACCTCAAAGTGAGAAAACCACCATCTATATTGAACTGATGAGTAACAAATGGTGGTTCAAGTGGTTCCCATTTTTATAGAACAAAAAAAGATAAAGAGTAGAAAGGCAGTGAAAACCCCTGGAAAAGCACCTATGTAGCCCTACAATCTGTCGAAATAGGAGCTCACGGGTGTAGAAAGTGAGACAGCCAAGTGGCAGCTCCAGAAACAAGTCACTTCTAGACCATGATGGTTAGCGTTTAAAAGAGAAGAGATATCGGATAGTAAAAATAGAACTACGAACAAAAGATGAGCTGGCCCCTCATGGCTGTAGAGGATAAGAAATTTATTTGGGGCCCATCTAAAAAAAAGCAAGAAACTAAAGTGAATAGAGATCACTGCTGATGCTACACAAGTTCCAATTTCCAATGAATCCAAAAAAACCTCATCAACATGGAAGTCCCTGAGCAAAGATTGATGGAGGAGAATGTCAGAAAGTATAGCATCTCAACAAAGTACATCCCAGAATCAAAAAAACTAAGTTAACTAGGACACAACAGGTATATACAAGTTTCTCCAGTAAAGTTGACAGGGTCAAGATGTAATGTCTCTAAGATGGTGAAGAGTGAACAGTTAGCAAAAAAGTAAGAGACAAAGACAATTACAGGAAAAGTGAGAAAGAGAGAAAAAGAAGGAGAAAGAAGAGATCCCCATGACAAAAGAAAATAATTAAATGATTGAGGCTCATTCAAAAAACTATTGGAGAAAGAGAAAACAAAACAGACATATCCCCAAAATCCAAACAGTGAAGAACAAAGTGGATTATGTAATCCTCTTCAAGTAAATGGAACCAGAAGCAAAAGTAGGCATGGAAACATTCAGAAACATTTGTCTAAAGATGGGGCAGACTCAGCTGAACAAACAGAAGCAGGAGGTCAGGAATCTTAGATCCAAGTCCATAATGGAATCAACCACCTGATGAACAATGACGGTGACAAAACTGACCATCAAAAGTGTCTTCAGTTGCCATTACAGTTTTAAATGACTTCTGATGAGGAGTGTCAAAACCTCAAAAAATGTAAGAAACATAGAAACACGAATTCATTATCCAGATGACTTACAAATATGTTTTATAATAAAATTTGTCCTGGTATGTCCACAATACATAGGCATGGATCACTCGTGTAATTGTGAAACTGACGCATACTTAAAGAAACCTCAAGCTAAGTTAAACAATAGGATAAAAAAAAACCTTATCACAGACTTCTACTGTTTGATACCAAACTTATTGACATAAATTCATGAAATAGTAGGTCAATAAAATTTTGAATGCGAGTCAACAAATGAGATGACATGGCCTTTCACCTGTGGCCCGTCTTAAAAGGGTTAAAAGGAAAAAATGTAATTTAAAAAAATTCAAATCAAAGTTCTAACTATAATGTTTAAAAGTTGGTATCTTTATTTCTCATAATCAAGAAAATAAAGGAAAGAAAGACAATATTATGAATGTAACAAAAGTTTAAGTGCAAAAATTCCATAAGTCATAAGAAATTTTGCAATTCAATTGTCCACTGTGGAATCAAACTTGTAAGGAAGCTTTTACATTTTCACCCTCCAATGACTGACTCACACATCATTGATGGTCTAGTCTCATTGGTGAAAATTCACATCTTGTTTAACTTCCTTCACAAAGAAAGGTTGATGCAAATTTACATGGTGTAATAAAGATTCAAGTAATAAAAACATTTCCATATAACATGTGATATATTACATTTAACTTTGTTAACACTGTAATAGAAACAATTCATTTCAAACTAGATCATACTATATAAACACCAATTTGTAGTATCAATTATGAATTAAGCTTGTTAAAGTATGCATGTTGTGTGAGCACATTTACAGTGTAACACTGAAATTTTGAAAACTCTGATGTATTTACTATTCTGTAATGATGAAGTGTTTACTCAAAATGCAGCTGAAATTAATACCATAAATTAATTCTTAGTTGGTCAGTAGAGTGGAGGCTGGAGAGTTGCTAGTATTACTCAAATTTTTAAAGGGGTGATAAGACTTTCCCTATTTACTTCATTAGAGCAAATAATTCCAAAAACTTGATAAACAAAAAGGAAATCTTGTTTTACTAAGCTGTTCTCGTTCCTTAAGAACATTACTTATCTGGACAACAAAATAGGTGTGGACATAGTGTACTTAAATTTTCAAAAAGCTTCTGATAAGGTGCCATAAATTAGCTAAGCAAATATCATTAGTATGGCTTTGAAAAGACTAGTTAATTTAATTGTAGGATGGGAGAAAACAAAAGGTTTTTACTAATGAAATGCATTCAAACTGGATCTTTGTTACTAATAAAATTTAAGTTTAGTGCTTCAGTCTTTGCTTTTTTCCAAATTATGCTAATGATAAGGGCATAATTAGTAAGTTTGTTAATGACATTAAAATTCCATTGTATTTCCAGCTGTATTGGAGATATTTATAGGATTGATAAATATTTGGCGAATGACTTAATTATATTAAGTACAAGGTTATGAATTTGGGTTATCAATACCGTAACTGAAGAAAATGGTCATGGTATAGTGTTAAATAAGCATTAAAGTCATTGAAGCAGTGCTCTGTGCTATTATTAAAGCTAATACAGTCTTAGGGTGTATTTACAGACATATTTTTTACATTCAGGAGAAGTAATAATCTCTATACAAATTACACATAAGGCCACACTTGAAATATTATGTAAAGTTTTGGGCTTTCTATCTAAGAAAGAATATTAACTTATTGGAGACAATTCAGAGGATGGTTACTAGAATTAATTTGGGGATGGAAGGGTTACCTTATAGGAACAGATAAGATCTCATATGTTCTTTTGGGAAAAGAAGATTAAGTGGTGGTCTCACTAAAGCTTACAAATCGAAAGGCTAAAGGTCTGAGTTTACTTGTCATATGTTCTTAAAATAATAGGTAAGATGATAAAATTAAAAAAAAAAAAGACTAAACTCCAGTTAAGGTAGTTTTACTTTTCTAATGGAGTGACTGACTTATAGAATTCGTGTTCTATGCAGTGCTAGAGGCCAGCACTTTACCAGTGTTAAAAGAAGGGAATTAATGATTTCCTTCAAAATAAATGGTGGGTAAGTTCTTACTTTTCACAACAGTAAGACAGTGTGCAAAGATAAACAACCTTGAAGTATCAAATGGTCCTTTTTGTACATGTTATTTTCTCTTAAGAAATGAAAGGTAAGACATTATTGAAGTTTATGATTATTAGATGGATTAATACTATAAAGTATAATAATAGGTTAAATGCCTTTGATTTATTTGTACTATATTCAGAAAGATAACTTAAGGTTTGGAAAAGACAGACTAGGTTCAAATTATGATAGGATTTTTTTAGATGGGGGGGGGGGAATTAGCTCACTCAATCAATTTTTTTAAATATATACGTTACAGTTGATAAATCATTAATTTGATTAAATGTCTTCCCTGTATATTATTACAATGAATACTTATCACACAACAAAGAAAATAGTATTTCTCACTGACCAAAACTAGAAGGCAGGATTAAAGATAAGCAACCCTCTACGATTATTTCCCAGTGGCACTAGTACATATTTCCGCACAATTGTTTTAAGTTTATGGTTAAGATTAGTAATACAAATACTAAAAATAAAATAATAGTACTATTTATTAATATTACTAGTAGTAGTAATATTATTAGTAACAGTAGGAAGAGGGCTCAAGGCCTTCCCTTAGTTGTGCGCATGCCTTCACACGGCTAGAAACAGCCAAGTTTAATGTCATCACCAAGCTTTACTATTTCTCAGATTTTCCCATTTTCATCAGCAGAATATTCACCTACCTCAGAAAGTCTAATTATTTAGACCTTTCTCTATTTAGCCTTCTCTATCAACGTTCCAAAGCACGTTACTTTAGCTAACGTTGGAATGGCGCGCCCCCTCTTATATACATTATTTATTTTACAAAATAACTATAAATAACGAGTAATTACATGACACTTATCAACCGATATTCCAACATTGTATCAATTATTTCTTTATACTGTTTTGAGCTTTTATTTTTTGTTTGCTAGAGAAAGCTAATAATGATGATGATGCAAAATACTTAAAAGGTTCATGGTAGTATAATAATCGAGGAGTTTCGTTTAATATGTAGAAGGCAAATACGATTATAAATA